CACTCATATATTATAGATACAGTATATTAATTACAGTGGCGGCGCCAGGCTTCCAAATTTGGGGGGGCATTTGAGGGGCAAACTCAAATTTTGGGGGGGCAAGATCGAATTTTTAAAAAGGTCGCCACCCCAGGAAATTCGCCCCCCCCCCCCTCAAAACGTGACGATATTCCTAGGAATATCTTAGGAATATCGCCTCCCAGGGGGGTGGGGCGAATACCCTAGGAATATCGCCCCTCTTTAGGACATTCGCCCCTCATATAAGCGATGTGGTTTATTCAAATAATTTCGTGATACTTTCATCTTATTATTGCCTTACACGTTTGAGAATTTAACTCTGCAAAACTAAAGCTTTTTTGTCTTTTTTTGAAACGTATTATTGAAGTATTGGCAAGTTTTACCATTCAGAGATTTACAAACTAATATTGAAACTGTAAAAAACAGTTTCATGTATACGCGCATTCACAAATGAGTAATGACAACTTATAAGCCATACATTTTCCGGTAACGACAGAACACTTGTGTAGCCTTTAGTCGCTCTTAGTGACTAATAATTTTTTTTGAGGGGGGGGGGCAAAATGGGGGGGCAAAAAATAATTTTGGGGGGGCATTTGCCCCCCCTTGCCCCTCCCTGGCGCCGCCACTGATTAATTAATTGAAATTTAATCAAATTCAAACTCAATCCAAATTACCATATTCCCAGATGTGCAGTATATATATAGGCTGTGTAGCAATGCTCTGTAACTTAATAATGCGGCTAGGTGCTGCATTCAGCTGGACAGCAATTCTGCGATTTCTCTGACGATTGGAATGCTATTGACGTTATATAGCGACTCACACCGTAACACACTGTAACTTGTCTCGCATTGTAAGGAGTACAACGAGAGAGAACGCGTGAGCGAAAAAAATTCATATCTCAAGAAATTTGAGCTCAATCTTGCAGCTGAATGATACGAGTCGACTTGTAGCAAGTCCAGTCATTATAGAACTTGCATGAGTTTTAAAAACTCTTCGGATATATAACAATTCAACCTCGTTCCCAGGGCTTCAGTGTGAGGACGAGGCGAGACACGAGGAAGCCCTGGTCCGGGCCGGTCAATTTTGCATTCTGATTGGCTAACACCATATTAACATTGGCTAACACCATATAACTTGACAGTTGACAATAACAATTCAACATTTGTATTTTTATTTTGTGTGTACGAGTATGTTTTGCAAAATAATCTTCCAAAGTAAGACGTTTTCCCGACTGCATGATTTACTTTCGTCTCGGACGGTTACAAAACTCAAAAGCCGTGTCGAAGTGAGCTGTGATGTTTCCTGACAAAACAAGAAACGTCTACTATTATTTAAGGTGTAGTTTTCCTTGTACAGTATTTATTAGTGCCGATGTCGGATGAAATACTACGCGTATTGCATTGTAGTAATATTTTAATTTACAATATTCTGTACTGACAAATAAAAGCAACACAAACAATTAAATGAAACTACTAAATTAATTTAGGCCCTGTTTACTTAATAGCTCTACGCCTAGGCCGATGTAGTCTCTACAAGATTCGCACGCCACCCAGTTTTTCAGTTTCAGAATACCCCCGAATACTTGAAAATTGCGACTATACGATAAAATAAAACAAAGATTGTGAAGGGGATAAACTTTGTAGGCAAGCATTGCTCCTGAACGGCAAGTGTTGGTGTCCGGCGAAACAAGCGAACCGTATATTCCTGTACAGCGTAAACAGGTTACGCGAGGTTTTATATTTGTGTTTATTTAATATATTGAACTAAGTCAGATCTATAAGAGCATATTTAAACTAAATATTAATTATAGCAATAGCCATATTGTTGAAGACGAGAGAAAGGAAATTTCGTGTGAATCACCACTTGCATGGAGACGCCTAGATGCAGCTTGGATGCAGTTTGCCTGTAGTTGAAAATCTCCAGAAATATCGGTATATCTTAGAAAACATAGACGGGATCTTCAGAGATTTCAGCTGATTCGTGCCAAACCTCGCTCTACACATAAATAATATCGATTGAGAAGTCTTTTGGCAATTTATTTGTTTCGATGACTTGTATATTTTATTTGATTCTTTAAAGAATATCTCGCCACTCCTTGACGAGTAGCTGTCAAATACTGCCATTTTTTGTCGTCACGTGACCGGCCTGGACCAGGGCTTCCTCAACAGGTGGGCAATTTGTCGACGCTGACCAAAAATAGCGGCTCATTTCTTCTTGAGTTGCCATTTTCGCGTCGAAGAGCAAAAATATAGACTTTCGGAGAATATTTTAGCTGTTTACTATCAAATATGTTTGTGAAACAGTTGATAATCTCACTGAGGAAGGTCAACGGTTTCTGAAAAGCTAAAGTACGTCGAAATCAGCGTTAGAATAGACTATATTTTCACCGGGGAAACATGAACTAAATGGATATTTACATCAACACTAAATTTCGCTCGTGCCTACAGAGCTAGTTGGATTAAAACAGATGTTAAGAAGTAAGTGAAAATGTGAATTTTGTGAATTATACTTTCATTAAAATGTTTCAGAAGGGCTGCTAATGTCAAACTACACGTGTGACAGAGCTGTCAGTATACCCATATTTCAATGTTTATGTTGAAATGGCCCATCTTCTTTGAGGTATAGCTTAAAAATTAGGGTATGCTCATCACTTGAAACTAGCTTTAAATCAAAGTTTTATCTATAGTCTTTTTATTAGAATTGAAATTATTCATGAGAAAAATGTGCCAGAGGGTTGAAATTGCCCTTGTAAATGTACACTATTTTTGAGATGTTTGGGTTAGTATTTTGAAAAGGTGTTCTGGAAGGAAAATATGTCTTGAACAATACTGGTTGACCCTTAAATTATAACTAGTGTTATGTAAATCACAGAAAATTGAAAAAAGTCTGGTCCATACACAATATTTTGGATTCTATGAATGCGGCTTATTTCAATGTTTAATCTGTTTACCTAGAAAAACATAGAAAATTGAATAAGTCAAGAATTTGACTATGCTCATCACCCAAAACCAGGTTTTTCTAATTGCTTTTTCACCTGGGTTTGTGGCAATACTAGTTATGCGACCACGAAAAATGCGCGCGGCACTTTTTTTGGACACTGAAGATGACAACATTTGATGTTGTTATATATTGCCATCCTCTTATCATAGTATAATTTAACTTATTTTAGTGAGTTTGTTAAAGAATTGTGCTCACTATATGCCTGTAGTATCTAAGATTTTTTTCATAGCATTAGATGATAAATTTAAGTTCTGTTTTCTTTTATTTTTAGGTGATAGTATCTGTTCACATGTGTGTTGGTATCAAATTTTGCACAAGATTTGATTATTATTTCCCATTCCTTTATTGAATTATCCAAATAAATGGAATGTGACATCAAGCTGGAGAACTAAATACTGTTTCCAAACTTGTTTTTGTAAAAATAGAAAATAACAACTTACTATGTGTTGTTCTAATAAAAACTATGGTTTTTGATATGCATATTTAATTTTTGAAATTACATTTCATTCTTTGTTAAAATGTGTACCAGGAATACTGAAATCTTTCAGATCAGCTAACAATACCTTTGTAACTTATATAGCCAAGTGTTCTATCTATTTCTGTTCAGATTAAACAAATGATGGGTAAAATATTAGATTAGATTTTTGCAAAAAAATGAGCTTGCCTGTTTTCAAAGCATAAAAAGCAATAAAATAAAGCAAGAGTACTTATTTTCACTGTAAAACCTTTAGAATGCATAGTTTAATGTTTTCCACTAAATATGACAAAGTTTTCGTTCATTAAAATGTTGTTTTATCAGCTTTAAAACCAGATAAATTCACGAAACACTCCCAATATATGTCGCCATATTGATTTTCTTCGCGCATGCTCAGACAAATTGCCCACCTGTTGGCTTCCTCGTGTCTCGCCTCGTCCTCACACTGAAGCCCTGGGAACGAGGTTGATAACAATTAAAATGATATATTAGTCCAGTCTACATTAAATCTAAGCTACTAATTTACAAGAATATGGAGACTAAACATTTAAATGTTAAAACAGTTATTGGAATATTCGCACTGGGAAATATATAGGATCCTCATCATAGAGAATTTGAATTTGCCGAGTTTCTAGACCATATATCTTCCTTGATCATGACTTCGTGTTACAGGAAGACTATATGAGTTACAGCATGTATGTTCATTGCTTGTGTCGTAAGCTGATGCGTTGTGAGAATGTTTCGTGCGCAGTTAAGTTTTGAACTGCGTGGTGCTAACCCAGTGGACTCAACAGCTCAATTGGTAGAGCGCAATCTCTGACTACATTGGAGCTGAATATGAGGGTTTTCTCGCATAATATTTTCGTATTTTTCACGTAGATTATATATATTATGTATTTTTCATGTAGATTATATATCTTATAGGTATGTGTGTTATGCCGGGTGTACTAGACTTGTCAAAGGACTTGCTCGCATTTCCCGCGCACTTTTGACTCCCAAAACATTCTTATTCTATTGACTGTGGAGAATAGGTTATAAAATATCTAATCTAAATTATGACACTATATAATTATATATATAAAGGGGCTGTTTATATAAAAACTGGACTGCCCGGTTAGCGAGATAGTCTGATATATATAAATTTTCCTTCTGTTTTTATATATGGGAACATTTCATCCCGCTTTCCGGGACGATTCTACTGTTTTGACATTGTTTTGATGGTTCTTAAAGCTCGACAACTAAGAGTAGCTCGGAGATATCTAGCTCGGAGATATAGTGCGTGGATATAAGCGTTAGCATGCAGATAAGCTTGCTTGAACCCCCACCAAGCTGGCGCTAGCATTTGTCAAGCACATCACGGCCACGGGTCACAACTCACTTGAAAAGTTGTTGCTTGTATGCGCAGTGAGATTACTCAGATGGCAAATAGCGAAGGAGAGCCAATCACGAATCCATATTATTAATCATTGAACTACAGCTGTACTCAATTATTTTCTCGCTTTTAGATGAGGATTGCGATCGTGACCTGCATGCATAACGTGGATTATCACGATCAAACCTGATGAATGGACAGTAACTAGTTTGAGTGAATTGCTGAGCTTCAAGATTCTTCACTAAAATGCGTTCTCCGTGTGTATCGAAGATCACTACTGTTCGAAAATGTACTATAAATGCATCTGAACTCCAACAACAGTGATCGCGAGGCTGAATAAAATCTAAAATAAAGTTTAAGGTAAGAACAAAGTTCGTTAATTTTACACATCCCCGGCCTCTACATTTAGCCCGATAAGCTCCAAGGGGCTTATAGGGAAAATAAGGTATTCTTCGACATGTTAACGGTGTTTTGGGAAACGTCCGTTGAAGCATTCGTAGTTACATGCCATTCTCCTCAAATTATTTCTTCTGAGACAACTTGACCATATCTATTTCAGAAGAAACATGGCCACGTGGACATGAATATGGACTACAATATAATTTGTTGAGGAGAAAATCGATAGCTGGACGGAATGGTCCGAATACGGGATATATTAGGAGAAATGGTGATCCTGGAATAGCCACAGAGGTAACATAGTTTAATCAAAAGTCTCATTACATGCACTCTCGTGCATTCTGCATATTGTTGAAAAATGATTTTACTCTTTGTTTTTACAAATACCACGCGTATTTTATACAAAATGTTTCCACAAAACAGAAGAATGACAGCATATCTCACGATGCAAACATACAGGGAACATCTGAAGAATAATTTCTTGTCCTCAGAAAGAGGACCTAATTTCTAATAAGAGGAAATAATTTCTTATCCTCAGTATAGTATTAGTTTGCTCGACCGCTTTGCTTACACAGTACACATATACAACTTTGTTGGAGATCTTATGAGGGCCTTTTTTAAGGATTTTTCTCTGGGGGAGGGGGGGGGGGCATTTTTTGAAGATAACTTTCTGCGAGATAATATATTAGTGGGGATAGCCATGTGGCCGACATACCACGCATGAATCCCTAGGGGGTCTGGGGGCATATTCGCCCAGAACATTTTTCAAATTCGATGTTGCAATTTCCTGCATTCTGAGCATCCAAATTTGCTCTAAAATTTATGCTAACTATACTTGTGTTTGAAATAAAAGAAGGAAAAACGCACAAAAAAATAACTGAATTATTAACAATAATTTATCATTACTTAGTAGGGACATTTGCCTCCCCCCCCCCCCCCTTTTATGTTAAAAAAGGCCCTGGATTTTGTATGCGCTTTTATAAACAAATGAGTATGATTGTGTAAAGGCTGCTTTAGCAGAAGTTTATAACCGAAATGTTTAGAAACACTAAGACTAAAACTAAGGACAATGCTCAATGTTTCTGCAATCTTTATAATCTTTGTCATAAGCCATCATCATTCATATACATGTGTTCTTCATATATGGCAAAGTATAATAAAAGCAATTAATATTAGCGTTATTATATTTAATTATTCATTGTAGACCGCGGTTCTTATCAACTTTGATGAGAGTTATATGTTTTGCCCGAATGACACATGGATTTTCGCTCAATTGCCCGACCGTAATTTTT